ATAATTTATTTACATATTACTTTAATTATTATTTAAAATTAAATTTTTTTAAAAAATATGAATGATATAAATATTGCCCCCATTACCAAATTTTTCTAGATTCATCAATGATTATAGCTTATACTTGGATTGTATTAGAAAAATGATTCTATTAATTTATAGAAAGCACTTGAACTTCAAGATGGAATTTCCAAATTCCTCGTGATAGATATTTCAAAACACGTATGGCATTTTAATGCAAGTATACTAACAATGGTAATTGATATATCTAAAGGAGATCTAGGAATCACATACCGAAACATCTCACCTGCGTTAGGCATCAAAAAGGTGGAAAGTTCCCATTGATTAATAGTCAAAAGTAGAGATCACTTCAGAAAGAAAAATAATGAGAACAGGACAAGGAGAGAACAGACAAAAACTAACAATTTGACTTTTAAATGTTTAATTAGATGAGCACTGTGAAAATTCAAATGAGAAAAAACAAAAGACAAACCTTGTGGTGATATTATCATAGAACATGAAAAATTGGAGGCAAGAAAACATATTGTCCCAATATGATTCAAATTTGTTAGTCTCCACTTAGATTGTGGGTTGAGGAAGTTACACTTAGCCGTTCATGTACGACTTGATTTCAACCGCATCCATAGGAAAATAAAAAAAATTATGATTTTAAAATATATTAAGAAAATCATATGTGGGAGTGGGATATAATGGGAGAGAAAAATAAGAATTATGATAATGGAAGAGATTGTGAGATAGGAAATTAGGGATAAAATAAAAGAATTAATATAATGAGAGAGAAAAAAGATAAGACTTAAATAAGAGGAAGTGGCTTCTAACAATTTGAAAGATATCATGGTTATTATTTTTTAAGAAAAATATTTTTAAAAATAAATGTTAATGTGAAAGTTATGACAACGAGGGGGATAGTGGGAGAGAAGACCAGATATAAATAAAAATAAATGAAAGAGAAATAAAAGATAGGGAGAAGTGGTTTCAGTTAGTTTTAAAAAACAATTGTTATTATTTTTTTAAAAATAATTGAAGAGATAATGGAGAGATATGTGGGGGTGAAGTAGTTTTATTTATTTTTTAAAAAATAATATAACATATATAGAATTTAATGTGCATATTTTATTAATTCACACGATTATAATAACATTGGTATAAAAATTATTAATTAATTATTTAATTTGATTTTAATTTATATATTTATATGATTTAATTTAAAAAATCATTTAAATTATTATTCACAAAATTATTATAACAATTCAAAATTATTCATGAAATGTCAATATTTAGAGAAGTTATATTTGATATTTTGAGATCATAGGAGCGAAGTTATATTTTTAAATTATAATCTTATAAGTTGAAAAAAAAAATTTGCTCATAAAATTCTTCTTCTAGTCATGATGTGGATTGGTATAATTTATAAAGATTTATATATAAAAGATGTATGATTGAATTAATTAAGTTGTATTTTAAAAATTAAATTATAGTTTAAAAAATTATATTTGAGATTATAGGAGAGAATATCAAAGATAAAGGAAAGCAATTTTTTTTTCAATTTTTAAAATAATAATTATGTATTCTATGTACATACAAAAAATAATTTTCATGAAAATATAAAAAAATTAGTAAAAAATCTTGAAAATAAATATAAAAACTAAATCCTATGTAACTATACAAAATTGCAGGAATGAAAAAATTGGACACTTGTCATTATTGTAGCTATGCTTGTTATTTTACTGTTATATCTATATATAGATAGATAACTTCAAACTTAAATTTTTTTATACATAAGTGTTTTTCTTTTAATGTGGAACCTTAAAATGCAATTATTTACAAGATGATTTGAATTCTGTTCCAACCCAGATTACCATTCGCCTTCTCAATCATTTCAAAGGGTAGAGTTGATAATTCGGTTAACCTTGATGGGTCAATCCAAACCCACAAAAATTTAGGGTTAGACTTAGCAAAATATTGATTTTTTTTTGTTTACCTGAATAAAATATTTATATTTTAAAAAAATATATAATATATAATAAATATTAATTAATTTTTTAAGTTTTAGGTCATTTTATACTAAAATATTATATATTTAAGTGCACTACTATATATATAAATTAAAAATATTTATATTGTCATATTTTTATTATTTTTAATCTATAAGTTATCTCAAAATAATATTTAAAATATATTTTAATATTAATTTTTAGATTTTAAGACCACATATTTTTTAAAAAAATTCAAGTCCTATGCATCATTTAAGTATCCAAAAATTATATTTCTTTTATTGGATTAAAGTCCAAATTTACCCATGCACTTATTTTTTAAAAATATTGGGTATCCTATACTCTTAAGTGAGATAATTTACTCCTAAATTATTTTTTAAGGAGCAAAAAATTTCTTATGTTAGTCAACAATTAATTTTTCTATTTTTTTTACTAACATGGCACGTGCATGGGGCCCACACATAATAATTTGTAAGACTTTGATCATGTTCTTTAGTATTAATTTGTCCCTGAATTTTATTTTTATGAGTACTGAGTACTCTAAAGTCTTTTTTATGAGGCTGATACCTTGAAGTCTTGTTAAAACAAACTTAATAAATATTGTTGCAATATTAAGTATTTTATTTAAAATATTATACCACCCAATTTAACATTTTAATATTTTTATGTTTCATAATTTTATATTAAAAACGAAGGGAATGAACTTTCAAATGAAAGAAGGATTTCTTTTTTCTCATCTTTCTATTTTTCTCTTATTAAATAACTTTTTTTACAACACATTAATGAAATAAAAAATATCTTTTAAATTAACATTTTTATTTGCATATTGTTGATATTGATTTTTCATGTTTCTAATTCTATTCCTAACAATGTAACATACAGAGAGTATTAAATTCTGGGTAGTTAGATTTGAATTCAGTTATTGTACTTAATACAGATATTGAATGTCTGTACCATCTAAACCATTAAAATTCATATTAATGATTATAAATTTATACTTCACTTAAGATTAATAATAAATGAGTAAATTTATTTGAATCTTTAATTTATATTTTAATGATTTAGATGATACAAGTATTTAATGTCTATATTAAGTATAGTCATTAAATCCAAATCTATAAAAGTTCTGACACTCATAAAAGATATAATGATTTGGGTACTGTCTTATAAACTTATAAAAGATTGATATATATAAGAAAAGTATAAATTTATAAAATGCTAGTTTGAGTTATTAATATTTAAAAATTAATTTATACATTTTGAAAGAATATTTATAAATAATAATATTTAAATTATTAAATATGAAAATATTTGGAAAAATGATAATAAAATCCCTTCAAATTAATGTAAATGATAATTTAATTTTTCAAAATATCATAATACAAATGAAGTCCCTAGGAACTTTTCTATCATTAAAAAATTACAATAAATGACCAAATTACCCTTAGTTCAAATATTAATTATCATTCACAAATTTTGTTTTAAGATTCAAAACTTTTCTTCTTAAAATAAAAACAATTCAACAACGATAAATTCACATTTCAAGTCCTAATATTCCTCAAGTATTGCGAATATCAATTGTCATTTGTAAGTTTTGTTTTAATATTTAAAATTTTTTCTTAAAATCACAAGAATTCAACTGCAATTTGTAAGTTCGCATTTGAAATCTTGATATTCCTCATATGTTACAAATATCAATCACCATTCATGAGTTTTATTTTAAAATTCACAACTTTTCTTCTTAAAATCATAAGAACACAACAACAATTTCATATTTGAAATCTTAAATTAAGGGTAATTTAATCATTTATATTATTTTTTAATGATAGAAATGTCTTTAGGGACTTTAAGGAGATTACAGCATTTTTAGGGGCCAAAATATCATTTATATAATTCAAAAGAATTTTATTATCATTTTTTCTTTTAAAATATTTATTAAATTTTATTCTAATAAGATTTTAAGGTAAGTGCTCTTAAAAAAAAGACTTTAGGGCCACCATTGCTCTTAAAAAAAGTTCAAAAATAAATTAGTACTAAAAGATATAATCAAAGTCTTACCAGTCAACAAAAAATAAAAAACTTAACAGCCTCTTAATAGAAAGATGTTTTTTATCTCAAAAAAATACTTTAGAGAAAAAATTGACTTATTTAAAAATATAGGGTGTACAATACTCTCTCAAAAAATAAGTATATGAGCAAAATTAAACTTTAATAACCCTTTTTATTTTTTGTAAAATAAAATAATTAATTTTAAAGTTAAAAGATTTAATTAAAAATAACTTTATAAATAAAATTTGGACATTTAAACTGTTTGAAGTTCAAAGAAATTTAGATCAGGTTTAGCTATTTAAATTTTTTAAGAAATCGAGCATATTTAAGTTCAGAGCTATTTGAAAAAATGGATCAAGAAATAAAATAAGCTCGCCTGCCTGATTTCTTGCCTCTATCAAAAGGCAAGATAAAAAATGAATGAGAAAAATAATATATATTTTTAAATGAAAAAAGGATCAAGAAATTAATGTACTTTTAGAATCACCTTCAACTAAAAACAAAAAATAACAATAGTAGGTGATGGACTTAGCCATTCCAACTCTGAAACTTGTTAAACTAACCCAGAACAGAGAAAGGCGAACCATTCGGTTTAACAAGCAACATCAGACGGTTCAAGAAATGCATGACATAAATCACGTTTGATTATTAAAAAAATAAAATAAATTAAATTAAAAAAATTAATGTAAAAATAAATTAAATCATCATTTACCTTCACATTAAGTATGATAAAATTTATTAATACATATTATAAATATAAAAATTATTACACACTAAAAATTTTATGAATCATAATTTCTACCTCCATAAATTAAATTATCTTCATTATGTGTGTGGTTTACTATTTTTTTAACATCTCATTTTCATTTTTATTTTTATTTTTATTTTTTCAATTATCCTTTTTAATAACTGAACGTCACCATAACTGCAACCTGATTAAAGAATCCACGTCGTCGCGGATTCAAGCATGGAGAGAGGACGTGAATATTGTACCCCACAACCAATGTCTATGGCGGTTCTGACAGGCTCATCTGTCACGTTGATCAGCTTTCCGATATCGTCGATGTACGCGCCGGCGCCTCGTGGAAACATGGTCCCACTACCCGGGAACCTGAACCGGTCCTTTTCGAACCGGATCCAGTTCTGTTCCGCCTTCTCAATCGTCAGACCCTCGTGGGGCACGTTAGCGTACCAGACCAAGTCCCGACTGGCCGGCCACCGGAACGGAATACGGTGGAGAAACGGAGTCCGAATCCAGAACTTCAACAGCTCCTCCTTTTCCAGGCAATCCCTTTCCCGGTAGATTAGCCTGTCACGATCGAATTTCAGGGATCTCTCAACGTCCTGTCGAGGAGTGTCTCAGAGAAGGACGAATGACAGGGAGGGAAATGAAACGACGCATCGCCGTGGGATGTGAGTCAGGGAGGTAATGACGGGACGAGAAGTCGAGAATGCCATCCACAGGCGCCGGCGAGATTTAGGTGGTCGAATTGTGCTCGACGCAGAAGGGAACAGGGACGCGTGAGTGGGCTGTGACGACGGTGGCTGACAGGAGGCCGACGAGGGGGGAGTGATGCCAGAGGCTAAGGAGGTAAAAGACAGTGCAGAAGAGGGTGGTGATGATGAAATAGTGAAGATTCTTCGTGACACTAGGAATAGTTGGGCAATTGGCCATTCTTGTTTGGTTTAATACAGAGAGGAGAGAGAGAGGAAGAAGAAGAAGAAAGTGTTTGGAAGCGAGAAGCGAAAAGGGTATAAATGAGTTCTTGGGCTTCCTGTTTTGCTTGTTTCGGAAGAAGAAAGGAATATTTCTGTGTATTAAGGAAAATATGGTGCAAATGGTAAGCACGTTGTATTATTAGTTATTAGTTCATGTCTCTTGATTCTCTCACCTTCATTTCCCAGCCATTTTCCTTTCTTCCCCCTTTTTAATTTCTCTTTATCTAATGTGAATCTTCCGTGAACATTACTATCTTCCCAAGTATCCGGGCTTCATCATAGTGGAAATTAACAGTAATAACAGCCACAGTAAATGAGGCCCGGCCATTTTCCTTAAGGGAAAAAAAAAACAGTAAAAAAGTTATTACTTGTAAATCATATGTCCGAGAGCTCTAGGATGGTAAATTGCTTTTTTGGGTAATATCTTCTTCAACATTAAAGAAGTGCAAAACACTCTATTATTAATAAAAGTTAATATTTACTGTTAGTTGATCATAGAATGAAAAAAAAAGTATTATAAAGTTATAAATAAGGATGAATAAAAGTTTCTTGGTCATTTTTTTATATTTTTTAGGCCTCTAACTGATAAATCTAAAGAACTAACTATAAATTGGACTCATTTATGATGAAGAAAATCCTATTTTCCCATTCCATTTTTCTCTATCATAGAAAAAGTTACTTAAGTTTGGGGGTTTAAAGCACCTTTGTAAGGGAGAGAGTAACAAACTCGAGAGAGAGTTTGAATTTTACTATAGCAACCAAGAGCCTAGATTAATCTTGAAAAGAGTTAGTGAAAAATTTCAAGAGTATGGAACTAGATGTAGATTCAAGTGGTTTGGAGCTGAACAAAGATAACAACTTCGTGCAAAGCTTCTCTTCTCAATGCTCAGTCCTATTTGGTGATATCTTTCTTGACTTATATTTAAATCTTGTGTTATTTGTTTATTTTTTTCATTAGCCCAATTCATCCTCCTCCTTAGTGGTTTTTACAATTGATATCAAGCCTAGTTGCTCAAATTTGATTTAATAATTAGAGTTAAAATCTTACTAATGACTAATTTTGTATATGATAATCTTAGTGAAGAATTGTCAATCACCAAACCACCTGCATTTAATGGAGAAAAGTATCCCTTATGAAAAAGTGGTATGATGATATATCTGGAAGCACTTGATATAAAAATGTTGAACATATTCACCAAAGGTTCATACATTCCTTATGAAAAAGTGGTATTATTTTATTTTTTGTAAAATTAAATAATTATTTTAAAAATAAAAAATTTAATTAAAAATAATTTTATAAATAAAATTTAGGTATTCATGCTATTTGAAGCTCAAAAGAATTCAAGTCAGATTTGGCTACTTAGGCTTTTTAAGAAATTGAGCCCATTTGGGTTTGGATCTATTTGGGAAAATTGATCAAGAAATAAAATAACCTAGGCCTGCTTGGTTTCCTTCTTCTACCAAAAGGCAAAATAAAAAATGAATGAGGAAAATAATATATATTTTTAAATGCAAAAGGGATCAAGAAATTAATGTACTTTTAGAATCACGTTCAACTAAAAAACAAAAAATAACAACAGTAATTGGTGGACTAATCCATTCCTGCTCTGGAAGTTGTTAAACTAACCCAGAAGTCCAGAACACAGAGGTGAACCATCCGGTTCAACAAGCAAAACCGGGCGGTTCAAGAAATGCATGACATAATTACAATCCGATTAAAGAATCCACGTTGTCGCCGGTTCAAGAATCGAGAAAGGACTAGAATACTGTACCCCACAACCGGTGTCCGTGTCGGTCGGTTCTTATAGACTCATCTTTCACGTTGCTCAGCTTTCCGATATCGTCGATGTACGAGCCAGCGCCACGTGGAAACATGGTCCCACCACCAGGGAACCTGAACCGGTCCTTTTCGAACCGGATCCAGTTTTGTCCCGCCTTCTCAATCGTCAGCCCCTCGTGGGCCACGTCAGCGTGCGAGACCAAGTCTCAACTCGCCGGCCACCGGAACGGAATACTGTATCCGAACGGCTCTGGAACCCGGAACTTCAACAGCTCCTCCTTTTCGGGCAATCCTTTTCCAGGTAGATTAGCCTGTCACGGTCGAATTTCAGGGACCTCTCAACGTCCTGACAAGGAGTGTACTCAGAGAAGGACGAATGACAGGGAGGGAAATGAAATGACGCGCCGCCGTGGGATGTGAGTCAGGGAGGTAACGACGGGACGAGAAGTCAAGATTGCCATTCACAGGCGCCGGCGAGATTGAGGTGGTCGAATTCTGCTCGACGCAGAAGGGAACAGGGACGCGTGAGTGGGCTGTGACGACGGTGGCTGACCGGAGGCCGACAAGGGGGGAGTAATGCCAGAGGCTAAGGAGGTAAAAGACAGTGCAGAAGAGGGTGGTGATGATGAAATAGTGAAGATTCTTCGTGACACTAGGATTGTGCAGAGGAATAGTTGGGTAATTGGCCATTGCCCATTCTTGTTTGGTTTAATACAGAGGGGGGAGAGAGAGAGAGAGAGGAAGATGAAGAAAGTGTTTGAAAGCGAGAAGCGAAAAGGGTATAAATGAGTTCTTGGGCTTCTTGTTTTGCTTGTTTCGGAAGGAGAAAGGAATATTTCCGTGTAATGAGAAAATATGGTGCAAATGGCAAGCACGTTGTATTGTTAGCTACAAGTTCACGTCTCTTGATTCTCTCACTTTCATTTCCCAGCCATTTCCTTTCTTCTCCCTTTTTAATTTCCCATTATTAATGTGAATCTTCCGTGAACATTACTATCTTCCCAAGTATCCGGGCTTCATCATAGTGGAAATTGACAGTAATAACAGCCACAGTAAATGAACCCCACCCATTTTCCTTAAAGAAAAAAAAAAACAGTAAAAAAGTTATTACTTGTAAATCATATGTCCGAGAGCTCTAGGATGGTAAATTGCTTTTTTGGGAAATATTCTTCTTCAACATTAAAGAAGTGCAAAACACTCTATTATTAATAAAAGTTAATATTTACTGTTAGTTGATCATAGAATGAAAAAAAAAAGTATCATAAAAGTTATAAATAAGGATGAATATAAGTTTCTTGGTCATTTTTTTTATATTTTTAGGCCTTTATTTGTAATTTTTTGGATTCTTTGTTGTAATATTTTTATTATTTTGATAATTTTTGAAATTCTTTTTAATCAAATAATAGTTAAGGTTAACTTTTTTTTTTCAATAGGAGTTAGATTATACTATTTTTAAAAATTAGAGACATAAAAAATGAGTTTAGAATTATATATGTTTATGGAGTATTTTTTTAAAAAACAAATTTTCTCGGGATAGCTTCCATTAATTAGTGAAAAATCTAACCAAATTCAAAAAAAAATTGTCGTAATCCTATTTCTATGTTTAAATAAAAAATTGATATTTCATTTTAAGAAAAATTAAATATTATAGTTAATTTTAAGGGCTCCATAGCTTCAACTTTTTTTAATTAAAAAATATTTAAAAATAATTTCGAGATTTTAAAATATTTATTTTAATGCCATTTTTGTTTGAACATTAAAAAAATTATTTTTATATTATTTAAATAAATTTTTGAACAGTGATTTATTTTTTAAATATTTGTGTTTAAATATCTTTTTATATAAAGTAAGAATTATTTGTGTTTAAATAAGGCGTAAATTTATCCCTTAACTTTAAAAAAAAATTTCACCCTAAACCTAAAAATAATTTATTATTTACTAATATTTAAGTTTTATGATATATTCATTTATCTTCACACTTTTATCAATATTTTCTCTCATATATTGCATATAAATATTTTCAAAACTTATTTAAAGTAGTTCACCAAATGATAAAAATCTGACGTTGTTTTACTATCTGATTTTCTTTACAAGACTTAAATTTTCAAAAGTTCTTTTTTTTTTAGAAAAGTTTTTTTCATAAAAGACTGAAACAAACGGGCCATTAAATTTTTTTAAAAAATGGTAATAACTAGAAAATCAGATTTCTATTATTTTGATAAACTAAAATGGGGAAAATGATAACAAATATCTCAAAATATGTAAATGAGAATTAACTAACGCCAAATATGATAATTATTATTTAGTTCTTGGAAACTTTTCTGGGATTTTAATTTTTGACAAAATGAAATAATTTGCTCCTGATGACTATTTGTCTATTATGCATTGGAAAAATAAAAAATGAATAATTTGGTTAGACCTTTGGTTAAAACAAAATAAAAAAAATTTAAATATTAATAATCAGTTACTATTACATGTTAGAAAGTAACTATTTTCATTGGGCTGTTGACTAAAATGAAATATAAATGATAAATTTTGTTTTATTATTGATTAAAATGGAATAGAAAGTGATCATTTCCTTCCTGCAAATTTATTTATCAATTAAGTGCAGCTAAATTAATTATTTTTATAAGAAAGTGGTTATTTTCTAATTTGTTTATAAATAAAAAATTTATAAAAAGAAACTAGTAATTTTCTATTCTATTTTAGTGAATAACATATGTTTGTAGGGATGATAAAATAATTTCTTTCCTTCCTGGAGCCTTCTCTTTTTGTTCTGTTCTGTTTTTTAAGAATAGGGTTTAGACACACACATTTTTTATATGGGAATGTTTATAGAACGGAACAGAATCGAGACAACCCTATCTCATCTTAAAAAATTATTAGGACTAAATTTTTATCTCGTGTCTTATCTCATTCTGTTAGAGAATTGAGATAAAACTAGACCAAAATTGGGATGTCCCATCATCCCAATAAAGAGGATAGCGTGGGAGAAAGGCCTAAATAATAATATTTATCAATTAAAATTTTAAATTACATAATTTATTAACTTCAAAACAAAAACAACATGAGTACATAAATCACGACAATTATTAAATTACATTAATCACAACTATACATGTGCAACTTAAAATCAAGTATATATGAGATATAACACATTATGATAACAATTACTAGTAATCTTTAGGCTATAAGAGTAATAACAATAACCACAAATAAGCCTAACACAATATCAAGTTATTATTCTTTTTCTTTAGTTAAAATATGTTAAGCTAGTGATTCTTTCAAAACTAAAGCAAGAAATATGATATTAACAAAAATTATTAAATAGGTAAATATAAGAATAAATTATATTAATATAATTAATATATTGTAAAATTACCCTACATTGCTTATTATATGTCATTAAAATTATCAATAAAAAATATTTTATTTTAAATAAGAATAACACTTATTGAAATTATAATTAATATAAGTATAAATTATATTAATATAATTAATATATTTAATGTATATTTTTTAAATAAATAATATATATATACACATAAAATATTCAAGGTAAGACAGGACGTCCATAAGGCAATTCTGTGTCTCATCCCATCCCAAACTTCTTTCCCATCCTGTCATGCAAAGTCCAATTCTAATTATTTTCTGGTCGGGATGAGACATGTCCCGATATAACTAGGAAGAAGTTGGATTAATCAGGATGGGTACAAGCTAAACACCTCTAAATTTATACTCTTTTGATTCTCTTTATAAGTTATTTCTATCAACTTTATCAATACCAATACAAAAAAAGTATAAGGAATAAAATTGTATAAAATTTTAAATATATCTTTATATAATAAATTTAAAAAGTGATGTTATATTTTTTTTCTCTCATGAAGGAGAATTTTAAAAATATTTTTTAAATATTATTAAAAAAGTTATAATTTAATTTATAAATGAGATTAAATATATATTTTAAAATATATCTTATAAATAATATTGGAAGGAGTATATCAATAATTCTTTTGCCGGGAAAAAAAAAAAACCACTTTTACCGATGTTATGATATTTATGTGTAAAAGAAAACGTGCTATAGCCTATGCATATACTGCTTTTGAGCTTTCTAAATCTGAGGGCTAAATTCCGTGTTCCTTGTACTTTCATAGACAGAAAACCCACCAACCTTGCTTGTTCTTTGTCTCAATTGTCAGCTTCTTCTTATCTTCAGTTTTGAACTTTCATTTCTCAGTTCAGTATTCATATTTTTCCGTGAAAAAGTTGGTAGAAAAATATTATAATGCCAATTGCCAAAAATATTTTTAATTTGTGAACAAAATAATGTCAATGATAGAATTTTAGGAACTTTAGGAATTATTTAAAATTATTTTTGTTTTATTTTTATGAAAATTGCTATTTCGTCGAACATATTTTAAGAACAAAAACATGATAAAATAAATTTTTTTCATTCTTTTTTATTTTTCAGAACAATAATCTAAAAACAGCTTAAAGATGTTTATATTTGTCTATTTTTTAAAATAATATTTAATTTTTTTTGTTCGTCAAAATGCTTTTTAAATCATCTTATTAGGCAATTTTTTTTTATGTTGTCTTTTGTTTTAGAGAACAATTTTTTTTTTTCGAGAACAGGTTGCCAAACAAGCCATCATGTTTCTTAAAGATTCTTCACTAATTTGAGTTTAAGTTACAAAATTAAAACACTATAAAGTAATATTAAAAATCATTTAATTCATATTAAATAATTCATTATCTTGACCCAAAAATCAGCGGCAACTCCATAAAAAATCTAACCTGATTGTCAGAAGTTTGAAACAAGTTTAAAAAATTTTCATTCGGGAAAAAAAGTATTTTTTTTCAAATTATAATGGTAAATGATAATTTTCTAAATTATTAAAAAATAAATTAAAATCAAGAGAATAATTAAAATAACTTCTCGTTAAAAATACTTGATTGAATGTATATCCAACTCAGTGGGTGGTTTCAGTTTATCTGACTAAACTGTGTTAAGTTTTTTTAATAATATTTTAATGAAGTAGAAAAGAGTTAGAAGGAAGTACGAATTTGATAATAAAAATAATACTGGTATATGGCTGCAAAAACAATGTGATTGATTGTTATAATAGTTTATAACGCAAGCATGGAGTTAGATGATAAGATGTTGAATCCAAATGGTTCGTAATATAAAATGTCATTTTTTTTTTAATTTTAAACTATTTCATGCAAGACAAGCTCCAACCTATCCATCTTGTTGACCAAATATTCTCAACAAAAATAAATAAAAAATATGTATAGAAGAAATTTAGTTAACGTTTTGCCTTTCTCATCTCATGGGATGTTAATTTCTCATGACCTCATCAAAATAAGTAACAATAATTTTTTATAAAAAAACTTAGCTTTTCTACACTTTGCTCATATTTTATTTTTAGTTTGTATATTTTTTTTTATATTTTAGGTCCATACATTTTCATATTTTATCATACATAGCTTACATGCTTACATGCTATTAAGTTACAAAACAATATTTAAGAGGAGGAAAGTTTTTCCTACATTTTTATATTTTATCATACATAGCTTACACGCTTACATGCTTCTATTGATTGGACCTCTAGCTTGTATGATCTCTACATTTTGATATTTATATTTTGATATTTTTTTTTACCTTTAAGTTCCAATGCTTATCATACAAACGAGCACTGAAAACTCATCATTTCTGGACCACCATTCAGATTTAATTTGAATGGTCTAAGTTTATAGTCTTTTATTTTTATTTTTTAACAATTATTTTAAAAGATACAAAATCCAAAATAAAGATAAAATCTTAACTGTTAGTTTTTCAAATTTTTGTATTTAAAAAACACCAGTTAAAAAACTATAAATCTGGACCATAAAAATTAAATTTGATTGATCCAGAGATGATGCATTCTTAGTACTTATCTGTATAATGAGCATTGAAACTGATTTTTAATATATGTAAAAATTAATCCTGATTACCAAAAAAAAAAAATTCATCTCAATTTATTAAATCTTTATAATATTTCAGCCCATCTTCCTCATTTTGTGGCCCAATATGTACAGCGCCTACAGCCCAACCCCTAAGTCTTCTTTTGTTTTGCCCTTAAATTTCCACTGCCAAAAATATTTATGAAAAAAATGCTTTATGCTGAAAGATTCAAAAATTTCTTGACGCTCTATTTCTTCTTCTCTGTTCGCTGTAAAATGCTCTCTTCTTCCTTCGTCCTTTCATTTTCGGCGATTCTAAAGCTGACACACCCGTCACAAGTCCGCCGCCGCCGCAATCTCAGATTATACAACTTTTTCCATTGCCTCCAGATTTCAGTCTCGATTCTGGTTTGGCGTGCTCTCCTTTCTTCTTTTTTATATTCATGTTTTAATAATCTCTATCATCATTTCCTCATGCCTCGATGATCATTCCTGCTTTTATATCATTAAATGCTCTTTTGAATCTCTGAACGTTCTTGCTGTTGTTAGCTTGTAATTTGGTGAAATTCTAACTGTAAACGATCAAACTCATAGATTTCCTGTTTGCGTCTCGAAGATGTTCGATGAAATGTCTCTATGGAGGCAACCATGGATTCGATACAATTCTTTTCTATGCTTAACAACCTTATTTTACTTTGAAAACTCATGGCTAGATACCCAAAGCATGTTTTTAGCTTATGGAGCTATAATGCACCATTATTTGCATTCTGGAGTTTTTCCTTATGCTTGAATTACGGGCTGTAGAAATTAAACTCCTTGAAAATTCATGTAACCTTTGTGATTTTGCTTAACTCTAGAAGGCTTTTGACTTAGTAGGCTTTGCAAGTGTAGGAAAGTTTTCTCTCATTCCTTTCAACTTAAGCTCATACGAGCTCTAAAATCTAAGCCTAGAATTCGTACTCTTTTCACAATTTGCACATACAGTTCTTGCTTTATATTCACTAACTCGTCTTGCTACAATCTTATAAACCATATTACTCAATGCTTTTAACATTTGATATCATTCTTTATTTATGACTTTTGATGAAATCAAGAACTTACTTCATCGAACATGGTTTGCACTTCACGATTTCATATTAGTAGGCTATGTAAGCTGCCTAATTCCATTCTTTTGAGGTCAACACCATGTAGCCTATAAGCATCTCATATAACTTTAAAGACTTAATTTTCACCTCTACAAAGGCTATTTCAATTCATAACCTTGATTTTTTTAAAATTTAGCCATATCATCAAACTAGATGGTTGAATAGGGGTTTTTAATATTTCTATTTAAATTTGAACTGGTAGAACCAAATACCCAGTAATATTCATGTTGAATAAATTGGGTCCACCCTTGATGTATTGATTCGGAGCCAAGTTCATAAACCCAACTCATTAATATTAATTATATTTATGTTTAAATATTTAGTTATTTTTTATATTTTGAATTTTAATATTCAAATTATTTTGGAAATAAAAAACTTTCCTGTGGTTTTGATCGATGGGAGTGGAGGCATATTTTTATTCAGAATACTCTCTCCCCCTCTCACCTTTTCACAACAACTTTGCTTTGGTGTTTCTATTGGGGGCAGAGATTGTGCTCTGACTCCTGTCTGTGGCGCGTGGAGCAGAATGTTTGAGCAGTCTAATTGGCGTACATAAAAGGAGTCGGGACAAGAATTTGCTAATTAAGTAGATAAATCGTCCAACCCTATACTTTAACATTGTTGATTGGCATCAAAGTTTAGTTGGGTCGAATTTTATATTTTCTGGTTATTAGTTATAACTTTTTAAAATAGGCTATGAAACGAGGCAAAGGTGAAGTGCAAGCCAAAGGAAAGGAATTATGGTTCCACATTTTAAAGCATGATAAAAGTGCTGGTTAATTTTTAATTAAACATTATAAAATAGGTATTAGACAAAGCAAGTGTTACATTTGTACCCAAAAAAAAAAGGACAAAAAGCAGGTGTTACATAAATCCTTACTTCAATTTTCTTCGTTGCCTCTGGTACTCTTAAACCTCAGAGTTAGCCTTTAGGTGTTACATTTTTCTTTTAAATTATGGACCCAGGATCTTTTAGCAGTTAGACATTTTTTTTAATGATCCAATAGCATGTTGTTTTTCTCAAGTAAATACTCCTATAGGTGTAAGTGAAAAAAAAAAAATTCCAAATTTAGCATGTTGTTCTTTTAGCAGCTGTTCATTTTGACCACTGCACACTCGTCCTGTCGCCCCTCGTCCATAAACTATTCGTTCCTATCACTAAATTAAATCTTCATAATATTTCAGCCCAAGGACCTTTATAACATAAAACTTGTGACAAAATGCAATATTCATAAATTATTAAAAAAGTGACTTATTTCAAATTGTTTGAAGGATCCACGGCTTAGTTTATTTTTGCCTGAAGATAGATATCAATTTGGCAAATTAGTAATAAAATTTTTTTGAATTATATAAATAATAATTTATTCTCTTAAAATGTTATAATTTTAATGAAGTCTTTAAGGTTTTGTGTCAATATATTTTAAAGTGAAAAGACCATTTTACCTTTATTAAAAATAACAAGTCCTAATTGTAATTTTTATTTAAGGAATCATAAATTTTGTTTTGTAAATTGTAAGAATTAAATAAGAAATTATAATTTATTAAGTGTAATTTTTGTTATTAGAAAATAAGCTTCAATTATAATTTTTATTTAAGGAATAGTAATTTTTATTTTGTAAATTGTAAGAGTTGAACTAGAAATTATAACTTGTTAAGTATAATTTTTATTTTTTGAAAATAAGTTTTCAAAATAGCAAATCTCATTAATAATTTTTGTTTAAAGAATCATAATTTTTTTTAAAGAATTGTAATAATTGAATAAGAAATTATAATTTGTCAATATAGGTAAAATTATTTTTTGAATTTAAAATTTATTAATAAAAAGGTACTTAAAGATTTTAGTGAAATTATAGTATTTGAAGAGATTAAATTGTCATTTATATAATTTGAAAGGATTTTATTATCATTTTTATATTAATTTTAAGCTGATAAACCTTATAGGGCAGTCTGACATTAAGGGTAATAGAGTAAATTACATACACGCTTCTTCAGTTTTGTGCAAAATTATATGTAATAAACTTTATTTTTGTAATCTACACCAATCTCCGAAACAATGCATCTTAGCTCAATTTTGTTTTATGATTAAAAATATGTATTCAGGCTATCGAAGATTTCTGGAGTTGATTTTTTTTTTGGGTGTAATTTTCAATGATCGATACTTTTATGTCACTACGCGTCCAAAACTAGTTTGGTTTGATGGTTTTGAACCTTTGTAACTATTGTTTGCGTTACTTGGTCAGTGATTTAACTTTTTCGCTTCAGTGAATGTGAAAAATATCAAATGTTTAGTTATTATTTTTAAATATTAAAAGCTCAAGTACTAATCGTTATTCATTGTCCTCCATTTTTGCAAGACAAAATCTCTTACTCTACATGAACTAAGAAAATTAGTTGATGTATTTTAAATTGGCATGTTTCCTGCAAAATATTTTGCATTGAATATTATTCTCTCTCACACACTCTATCTCTTTCAATTATTAAAAGTACCTATTTTAGGGGTATTTTTGAAAACTATATTAACTATTTTATAAATTTTACAAAACGTCTTGATCTCGTAAGTAGACATCAAAGGATTTTAGAAGTTATATTTTTCTACTTATAAGTTACTTTTAAAATATTTATAAATCTTAAAATTCATTAACTCTTTCTAAAAATTTAATAAAATTTTAATTTTATCTCTATTAAATATATATATTTTATCAATGTATTTTTTCTATCTAATATTTAATGGGAGTAAAAAAAATTATGATAAAAAATTAATGACATGCTTTTATAAATATAACAATTTCTATTTTATAAATAAGATAGAAGGGAGAAAGAATATAATGATTACTATTTTTCCAACGATGGAGTTTTTTTTTTTTTGGAATAAACTTCAACTTAAAATACCATTTGATTATATGATAGTATACAGCAGTGGTTTCTATAAAGATTAATCATAAAAAAGAATTACTCTGTTCGAGTTGAGACGGAAACAAAAATAAAGGAAGAGCTCTTTCAATTTTACGGAGAACGATTCTCTCTTTCAGTGCAATTAGTGGTCACATGCAATGCAACATGGTCTCCCATTAGGTGTCTCCTCTTCCTTACTTTCCATTTTCCTTTTTTTTTTTTTTTGTTTTTTTTCCCCTTCTCATTGCCGTTAGATTGAAGTTTCAACAGTTCTATTTGATAATATTATTATTTTAATTTATATAAATATATATAAATGAATTTGAACTATTAAAGTTTAATTTAAACAATTTAAAGCCATAATATTTTATTTATATATTTTATGTAAAATTATAAGAATAATTTTATAAAAAATTAAATTTAACTTATTAAATAACTTTGATTTAACGGTAATGAGGAGGAAAACGGTAATGAAAAGGGGGAATAGAATGTAAAGAAAAGCAGACACCCCGTTCTGCCTAAATGTTGCTTTTGGGACCAAAATCAACGTTTTTACACAGTTTACGAGAGTCACAGGGTTATGGTTGCTTTTTGTGTTATCGTTTAGTGATTAATTAATTAATAACTAATTAATTAATTGGATTTGGGAATCTCCATAATCACGAGATTAGCGATGCTTCAAATAAGACAAGGGGCTGCACATGCGATGCGCATCAACCCCCTCGTTGGATTTGTTCAATATTCAATTCAAATTCTATTTAACCCTTTCAAGTTTGTGTTGTTTGCCTCCATCACTTCATAGGATCTTTGGGAGGTGGGAAAATGACAACTAAAGACTTTTTAAAAAGAGTAATTTTAAATCAAAACTTTTTCAGTGCTGAAATATAAGAGGATGAATATTGAATTTGAAGACCTTAATTATGATGAAATTCTAATTGAGCATTAATTTTGATATGAGACTTTTAGTTGTCATTTTCTCTTGGGAGAAAGACAATTGTGTACTAGAATATTAATTTAATAGTAATTAGATTTTTAAAAAAATTGTTGAAGGACGAGTGGTGAATAATAATTTAACTAATTACAAAATTAGTTTTTCAGTTGCAAATCAGACACACAAATATAGAGGTTATTTCCAGTAATTTGCAGTTGAAATTTCTATATTTGTAATTAATTCTTTTGCAAATTTTTTGGGACATAATTGTCTTAAAGTTAATTTTTTTTGGGACATAACTTGTATTCTTCCTCAATCTTTTTATGCTTTATTTACTTGTAGTTTTTTAAAGATAGAAGGTTTGTCCAAAGAAAAAAATATAGCAAGTTTCGTTTGCTGTTGTTGCTATGTTCAACGATTTGTTCTCAGTTTTTCTTTTATAATTTATATACTTCCTTCTTTAAAAATATAAGATATTCTTTGATAAATTTAATATGTAAGATATTTTTAATTTTTTAAAATGTAATCATTGCTTTTTTTTTAAAAAAAAAGTACTTTTATTGATAATAATTTTACATTTATTATTGGGTGTTTAATAGGGATAAATATGAAAAGATAAATTTAGTTTAAAAGTAGATAACTACTTTATTGAAAGATAAAATTCAGTGGGAGTATATTCTATTGCTTATTGCTTACTTTGGAATAGTGTTGTTGAAATAATTAATTATTAATATAAAGTTTGGATTTATTAATTTATTAATGTTGATTAAATTTCTGTTTTGAATTTGAGATGCAATTTTTACACTAATAAGGACTTTAATAATTTGTCAAATAACATTTTTTGACCTCAATTTGTGAAATAACTTGAAATAGAATTGTATTTGCTTTCAACAATATATTTGCCGTTATAACGTTCTTGTTTTCATGAAGTGATGATTATTAAATGGTTAACTTTATTGTATGTAATAAAGACATTGCATGTAATAACCAGTGTTTTCAGAACCGGATCAGACATTGAACCGGAAAAGTCAGCGGTTCACGGTTCGCATGGTTCAACCGGTTGCCGGTGACGTAATAATTAAATTAAAAAAAAATTATATATGTATATAATAATTTAAATATAAGAAATACATATGAAATTGCTATTTAACTTAAAAAACTTAAATATTTTAAGTTTATTATGACTTAACAAGCTATATGATACACTATAATATCAAATGATTAAAAAAATTAGTCATTTTTTTAAAAAAATTTGATAAAAAATAAAAAAAAAGTTTTTTTTGAACAGTCCGGTTTTTGAAAACCGGATCCGGTTCCCGGTCCGACCGCCGTTCGAAACGGCTCAACCCGGTTCAACTCTGAAAACGGTTTTTTCTTTGAATCAGACCGGAAACCAGACCGGTCGACGGTCCGACCGGCCGGTCCGGTCCGGTTTTCAAAACAGTGGTAATAACTAAAATCTGATAAAGTTGAAATCCATCCAGCCAATGAGGATAGAGTGTGTGGTGTGAATAATAGAAAAATTGTTAGATAGATTAAATGTACTACATCATTACAGTCTGTCTAATAAAAACATAACATTTATATACATTAACTATAAATTAATTTTAATATCAATGATAATAGAGATAGAATAAGCAAGAAATTAAATATATTTTCTGTTATAAGAATAAAATTAATTAAAAAAAATTATCACATGAAATTTTGTTTAGATTATTTGAACCATTTTAATTTGATAGATTACAAATGATGTTATACATTCGGTCTACCTATGTATTTTTCTATAAAATAAGAACAAATATTAAATTAGAGCAACTAATTATTCATATTTATAATAATTTTATTTAATTAAAATTTATAAGCAACATGTACATGGGAGCGATCTGCTATAATTCACCATGTGTAAATGAGAATATTTAATCCAGTTAATTTCATATTGAAACCGACAGAAATACACACATTAATAAATATTTAAATTAAATTAAAAATGCAATGATACCCTTTCACGCTGAAAAAAATATTTTGTAAGAAATGCAGGGTAGGTTTCAAGTTTCAACTTTCACGGAGGAAGGAGCGCGTGGGAAATAAGAGGCACGTTTGGAAACTTGTATGCTCACGGGGATAGTGCAATTACGAGTCAACGTCCATGCTTCGTACTTGCAGTATCATACCAGTGTAGCAGCTTTCTCTACTCTCTCCAATCTTCTTCAACTATCTGAACGTGGTGTTGCTTGCTTTCTTCACGGCGTTCTTCACTTTGATCATCCCCCTGCATTTGTCTTCTTTGCTCTACTTTCTCTGTGATTTCACATCATTCACTCAGTACCTTTCCCAATCGCAAGTTTCGTTTTTCTTTCCTTTCTTTTTGTTTGCTGATTTTTTCGTTGTGATCAATAAAAAAACCCACGTGTTCCTGCTGTTCATGTTCTAGTTCCTCTTTGTTCACTGTTTCCTCCTATCTGGGAAAAAAGTTGTAGCAGTATATCAGAAGAACATCTGGGAAAAAAAAATGGAGTTTGTAGCCACCATGTTTGGCAAAGTGTTGGATCTTGTGGTGGATCCTGTTAAGCGGCAACTGGGTTACCTTTGGAACTACAAGAGCAATCTTGAGGAGCTGAGGGGATGTGCTCAGAGGCTCAAAGATGAAAGGCAGAGTATGATTGCTCGAGTTCGAGAAGCTGAAAGAAATGGAGAAAACATTGAAGATCGTGTTAACAACTGGTTGACAGAGATGGATGAGAAGATTGCTGAAATAGACATGTTTTTGGGAGATGAAGACCACTTGAAGACAGGGTGCTCCAACAGTTCGTTTCCTAATCTGAGGTTAAGGCATAAGCTCGGCAGAAAAGCAAAGAAGATGAACCCAGCGTGTGCTGATCTGGTGCAACAGGCGAACTTCACGATAATTTCTTATCGCCCAGAGCCTATTGCAATAGATGCTGCTCTTTTTGATGGTGGTTATGAATTGTTTAGCTCTAGAGAAGCCATTATCGAGGAGGTTATGAATGCTCTGAGAGATTCCACAATTACAATGATCGGTATCCTTGGGCAAGGTGGTGTTGGCAAAACCACTTTAGCTAAAGCAGTTGCTAGGAAAGCCATGGCAGAAAAGCTATTCAATGTCGTGGTTACGGCAAATATAACAAGCACTCCTGATGTAAGACGGATTCAAGGAGAAATAGCAGACATGTTGGGCTTAAGATTGGATGACGAGAGTGAGATTGGAAGAGCTGGTCGTTTGCTACAAAGGTTGAAGAAGGAGAAAGAGAGCATTTTGGTTATCCTTGATGATCTTTGGGCAGGACTTGACCTTAACATGTTGGGGATTCCATCTAATGATGATGATGTCAGCCAGATGACTATCAAAGATATGCATGATTTTGGTCCTAATATGTTGAAAACAGAAAAGCGCCCTGGTGGCTTCAAAAGGTGCAAGATTTTGTTAACTTCTCGAATCAAAGGGGTATTGTTGAGCGAAATGGATGTGAAGGAAAACTCAATCTTCTCTGTTGAAGTCTTGGAAGAAAATGATGCAGAAAAATTGTTCAACAAGGTGGCAGGAATATCTGATGAAGATTCTGCAGAGTTGAAATCATTATCGACTAAAATTGCCAATAAGTGTGCAAAGTTGCCAGTGGCATTAGTAACAGCTGGAAAGGCTTTAAAGAATAATAAAAGCAAATATGTCTGGGAAAATGCACTACAAGAAATCGAAAGGCAAGAATTGGTTGGAGTGCTAGAGCCTGTGGAGATTTCTACAAAATTAAGTTATGATCATTTGAAAAGAGAAGATCTCAAGTCTATTTTTATACTTTGTGCTCAAATGGGTGAGGATCTGTTTATAATGGATTTGGTGAAATATTGCATTGGTTTGGGCATATTTCAAGGAGTTACGGTAAAAGAAGCTCGGGATAGAACAAATATGTTGATCAACAAGTTAAAAGACTCAAGTTTGTTGCTGAATACTAGTTCTTATGATTGCATCACCATGCATGATATGATTCGTGATGCTGCCCTATCAATAGCTTCTAAGGAGAAAGATGCTTTTACCCTAAGATATGGTAAACTAGATGAGTGGCCTGACAAGGATACATTTGAAAGGTACACCAGCATCTCTTTTCATCATTGTGATATCGTTGATGATATTCCAGAAGGTATAAATTGCCCTAGACTCAAAGTCTTCCATCTTAACAGCAAAGAACCTTGCTTGAAAATACCAGACAAACTTTTTGAAGGCATGGGTGAACTAAGAGTATTAATATTGTCTGGTATTGATCTATTAAACTTGCCTTCTTCAATTAAATGCCTCAAAAAGCTTAGAAAGCTTTGTTTGGAGCAATGTCTGTTGGGTGAAAACATATCCATCATTGGAGAGTTGGAGAATCTAAGAATTCTCAGCCTCTCTGGATCTCGATTTGAAATTTTTCCAAGTGAAGTGAGAAAGTTAGGAAAGCTACAATTGTTGGACATTAGTAACTGTTCCAAACTTCAAGTGATTCCATCTAATGTAATATCAATGTTGAATAATTTGGAGGAGTTATATATGGGAAACAACTTGATCCAATGGGATGTTGAAAGAAAAATAAACCACAATGGAATTGCTTCGCTTATTGAATTGAATCATCTTCAGCAATTGAGAAGTTTGGACATACACATTCCTGATATTGTAGCTTTGCCGAGGAGCTTGTCCTTTGACAAGTTAGATAGCTTCAAAATTGTGATTGGTGACTCAAAAATGCTTTTGTTAGAAGATTTCAAGATGCCTTTCAAGTATGAGTCAACAAAAGCTTTGGCTCTGCATCTAAGAAAGGGTGATGACATTCACTCCCAAACAGGTATTAAAATGTTGTTCAAAAGCATTGAACAATTATTTTTGGGGGAAGTAGATGGTCTTCAAAATATTATCTATGAGTTAAATGTGGAAGGACTTCCAAGTCTTAAACATTTAACAATTATAAAGAACCTTGACATCCAGTATATAATCTATTCAAGAGAGAGGAAACATCAGGCAATGGCTTTTCCCAAGTTGGAGTCAATGTGTTTGTATAATCTTGAGAGGATAGAGAAAATATGTAATTGTCAGCTCACAGATGCCTCTTTTCGCAACTTAAAAGCCGTTAAGATCAAAATCTGTGGCCGATTGAAAAATGTCTTCTCTTCTTACATGGTTAGATTTCTCACAAAGCTTGAAACAATTGAAGTTTCTGATTGTGATTCTTTAAAGTATGTTGTTGTTGTGGAAAGACAAGAGAACACTACTAACAACAACAATGCAAATGATGATAGCATTGCATTTCCTCAATTGCGCACTTTGATATTGCAATCTTTACCAGTATTGGCTTGTTTCTATGCTATTGACAAGAATGTTCCAGTCTCTCAAATAGAAGCTACTACTGCTTGTCATCCTCTATTTAATGCAAAGGTATGTGCTATGAACTGTAAACAAATATATTTCTCAACACTTTTCTTTGTTCATGTGTTAAATCATATTTAATTTATTCTAAAATCAAGGAATCTGGCTTGGCTTTTAAAATCTTACCCTCTTGCGAAAATTTATTTGTGGAATTGATAATCAATTATTTAAGAGACTTTAATTTTTTGTGAGTAGGTTTCATTTCCGAGCCTAGAGAGCTTGGAGTTGTCTTCAATCAATGTCAAGGAGGTATGGGGTGACCAACCCTTCCCAAGTGCCTCCTTTCAAAATCTGACAAAATTGATTGTCAAGGACTGTGGTAGTTTGAAATATTTAGTTTCATCATCCCTGGCCAAGAGTTTGATGAAATTACAAAGCCTTTTTATTAGAGGATGTGATATGATGATGGATATTTTTGATGCTGAAGACGTCAGTTCAGATGAAGCAGGCAAGGTATGCAATTGCATTGAATTTGATTAGACACAGAACCAGGAATTATTTCTTTTATCATTTTTATTAGGGAGAATTACAACCAGGGCCCATATAGCGAAATTTGCAGTTGCATTGGATTTGATTAGACACAGAACCAGGAATTATTTTCTTTTATTAGTTTTATTATGGAGAATTACAACCAGGTCCCATATAGCAAAATTAATCACTGCAAGGTCCATTGACAACTGAACTTACAGTAATTAATTTCCTTGTGTGGGACTTCGATGTAATTCTCCCTTTTTATTAAATAATGATTAATTTGGTCTATATACACAGGAGGTTGATGTCTTTCCTCAATTGAAGAAAATTGAAATCACCAGCATGAAGAATTTGAAATCCATTTGGCATGGCCATGCTAGCCTACATTCCTTTTGCTGTTTGGAATCTTTGATCATCAAAGATTGTGCAAAACTTGTCACCATTTTCCCTCAATACATGGTAGGAAAATTTCATAATCTTGGCAGCATGGAGGTTATCAATTGTGAGTTGGTGAATGAGGTATTTGACCTTCAATCTACATCTCAAATTAGTGGTAGGAATGAAACAAACTTGCGCAATCTTCACTTGGAAAACCTACCAAAATTGAAGCATGTATGGAGCAGAGATCCTCAAGGAATTCTTAACTTCAAAAATTTTCAAGATGTTTCTTTTATTAGTTGCCCTGGCCTAGAAAATCTTTTCCCATTTTCTGTTGCCATTAATCTTATGAAATTGGAGAGCATTGAAATACGTGATTGTGTGGGGATGAAGGAAATTGTAACCAGGGATGATACATCAAATATAGTCAAATTCATGTTTGAGTTTCCTAAGCTAACCTCGCTTACATTAGTTGAACTACCAAAACTTAGGAGCTTCTACCAGGGATCACATGGTGTAGATTTCCAAGCATTGACCGAATTGGGTCTGACTCGTTGTGACAAGTTGGAAGCATTTGGCAAGGAAACAGGAAATTCAGAACTGAAACCAATTCTCTCAGCTTTAGTTAAGGTAAATCTTCTTTAAAAGCACTTGTATCATTTTATTCGTTTAAAATCATGATTGTAGAGAACTGCAAATGCATGAACTTTAGATTTCCCACAAACTACCTGAGCCTCACTACAGGAACACTTATTATGGCTTAAATGGTTGTCCTCTATAAATTATGATTGTAGAAAACTGCAAATTAATGAACTGAAGATTTTCTTCAAGTTAACTGAACGTTACTACAGGCACACTTAGTATGGCTAAATGGTTGTCTTCTTCTAAAGTTATACTTTTCTTCTATGATGATTTTTTAGGTGTTATCCAACTTGGAAAAACTAGCATTGGGCCCAAAGGAATGGAAGTGGTTGCAGGACTCTGTTGGTAGTAATATGTATCAAATGCACAATATAAAACATCTTCTTCTTGATAGACTGAGTAGTATTGAAATTCTCTTATGGTTTCTTCAGAGAGTTCCTAATTTAGAAGTCCTATATTTGTGGAATTCTGCTGTCAAACATGTGTCGCCTAATGGAAGCCTTGTTTCGCTTCAGAAAATTGGAACTGTTGGACAACTTAAAGAATTGAGATTATTAGAGTCATATCTTCCACAGAATATATGCTTAGAAAATGATGGCATGTTTCAAAGGGTTGAGCGGCTATACATTTATGATTGTCATCATTTGAAAAACTTATTGCCTTCCCCCGTATCATTCATTTACTTGACATATCTGAAAGTTTGGAATTGTGGCAAATTAAAGAATTTAATTTCTTCGTCCACTGCAAAATCCTTGGTGGAACTTACCGTACTGAAGGTTGCTGAATGTGAAATGATGGAGGAAATTATCACGGTGGAAGAGAATGCAGAAGACACAGGAGATGAGATTGTTTTTGGCAAATTGAAAATTTTAAAACTTGAGTCTCTAAGAGACCTCACAAGTTTCTGCAATTCCAAGGATAAACTGGTCTTTGGGTTTCCATCCCTTGAAAAATTGATAGTGAGCAACTGCTCTAAGTTGGAAAATTTCTGTGAGAAAATCCAAAGCACACCAAACTTGCGAAAGGTCAACATTGAAGAAGGAGACGAAGGAGAGAAAGGGTGCTGGGAAGGTGATCTGGATAGTACGATTCGAAAGATTTTTGTGGATAAGGTACGTGATAATTCCTTGTATTTATTGTAGTTTGAAATTAAAAGTTGTTACTTGTTACATATACTCCTTTTCATCAGTACGTTTTAAAATTTCTTTTGAGATCTTTCATCCGACCTTCTTCATCTAAAAAACAGTTTATATTTCTGTGTGTGTGTGTGTGTTTCCTTTGTATATATGATCGTCATATATTCAGGGTTAAGAAGAGAGTTTGGATTTCAGCATTGAGATGATTTATTTACTTAACTTTTTTGGGGAAAAAAAATTGTCAGTCTAGATTCTACTGTGCAGGCATTTAATTTTTAATTTTTAACTTCTGACACCGGCGTAGAAAATTTTTTTTTTATACATTAGTTTCTCATTAACTGGTGTAGAAGTCCAGTATAAGGGGTGGAGAGAGGGCGGACCGACAGTAGTCACGGCCTCCCTAACTTTTTAATGTTTTCTTAGTAAAATGTGAGAATTATATATTTTCAGCTCCCATAAGTTGGCACATAATAGAAGTTATAAAATACTAGATGGAATTCTCATTTCAATTTTATATGTAGTCTTTTACGTATATATAGAGCAACTATTTTAGTAGCTTAAAGATATACTTGTCATAGGATTTACTTATTTTTAACAACATAATATTATACATGTTCTTAAAGTATTAATGTCATTTTATTTCGCTTTCATTTTATATTTAATGAAAGAAATTATAAAAATTATTATTAACAAACTTTATTAAGCATTGCAACAAAAATCTCAAAATATATTGAATGTTATGTGTTTGATATTTGTCATAAAATCACTCACCCAAAAGTTAGGAGGTTTGGTGAAGTTGTTCTTCTAAAAAAAAATTACGTATTTTAAATAATCAAGCTTTTAAAATTTATGATATGAATGGTTTTTCCTCTGATATAATTCGATCTCATTGACATAAAGATTTTATGACAATTGAGCATTATTAATGTGTTTATATATTTATTTACTACGATTATCAATTAAAAGAATTAAGTAGGAAATTCAACAAGTTGTAATAGAGCTTATTATATTAAAAAAAATTTAAATTTCAATGATGTATTTAAATCATTTAATGCTCATAGGGATGATAAAATTTTCACCGATTTAATGATAATTTATATTGAGAAGGAAATTGCTAAAATATTTACTGTAAACATAATAACTAATGATTTTTAATTTCACGTTAACTAATAATGATTTTAAAAGTATTCTTTTATACTTTGTAGAGTGTCTTGAATTTTCAATTTCTTAGTTTAAATATATACTGTAATACAGAGGCAAGTTATTCTATTTTTCTCAGAGTATTTTGAAAATTTAAGCTTTCCCTCGAACAAAGTTAAACGATTTCCACCACAAATAGACTGTAACCCGCATAAAATGATTAGTTACATAATCAATATTAATATATTAACATAAGATATAGTATAACATTTTTTAAAATTTTATCCATAACCCTGCCGTTCTCCATAGAAAAGGTTATGGCCTTCTTGTTAGGATAACACACGCACTTATGCACGCACACTAATCATGTCAATGTTAGGTTCCAACCTAAGACTTCTTTTAAGAGAGGGATATGGCGTTGTTGTTAGGATAACTGACTGTTGACATAATATTAAAAAATATAAGGTATTTTTAGTATTTTAAAGTGTAATCATTATCTTTTTCTCCCAAAAATGTCCCTATTGAATGATTGTATTATATTTATTTGAGTGAAATACCCTATTACATAAAGATAAATAAAAAAAGATAATATTAGTTTGAAGATAAGTAACTATTTTATTAAGGGAGAAATTCAGTTAAAATGCCTTATATTTTTGAATAGAAGGAGTATAATATAATATAATATAATATATTCAAAACCCATGTAAAGTACCTCACATATGCTTAACCAAAAAAAAAAAAAAAAACTATATAACTTTTTCTGTCCACCCATTAATATAAATACTAAAAAGAAACTCTTCATGGAGTTTGTACTTCTAATGTCCCAACCCTCTAATGCATATTGCGAAGCTCTACTTTTTATTTTTCCATTTTTCTCTTGATCATTATTTTATAGATAAAATGAAACACATTTTGGTATTTTTAGCCATGAAATGGTGCAATTTTGACTATAAAAAAAATGGTGCAATCTTTTTTTTTTTTTACATTTTTTTTCAAATAAAATGGCCATGAAATCGTGCAATTTATTGTTTTCTTTGAAAATTGTATAAAAAATTTAAAACTGTAATATTTTGTGATTGCAAGATACTTCATCTTTAATTTTATCTACAAGATAATGGTTAAAAGAAAAAAAAAATGCGTGACATTACAGGACTCGTTAGACGCCCCAAACTCCTCTTATGTAACTATATAGAATTTAATTATCATTTTAAAAATATTTGTCTTAAGCTCCGAACAGGTCTTCTGTAGTTTAACTAAATTATCTATCAAATTGATTTTATTAAAACTATTTTATGTTGTTTTGTTTTTGTTTTTGTGCATAATTAATTTCATAGTAGTAATATATAACAGTCTAATGTATCAACTATTTTGTTGGAGCAGCTGGCACAATTTGCACGTGATGTGCAATATCTGAAGCTAGGAGACTACCCTAAGCTACAAGAGATATGGCATGGCGTAATGCCTGTCCCTGATGGAGGATTCAATAAGTTGAAGACTTTGATAGTGCATGGTTGCCATTTCTTATCAAACAATGTGATCCCTTCTCATTTGCTTGGCTTCCTTTATAACTTAGAATACTTAAAAGTACAAAATTGTGATTCTGTAAAGGCAATATTTGAGGTGGGATCCTTGCCTTCGCCCTTCCCCATTCCCTTGAAAACATTGATTTTGGAACAGCTCCCTGATCTGGAGAATGTTTGGAATGTGGACCCTCAAGAAATTCTCAGCTTCCAATCTTTGCAACTTGTGTTTGTTAATGGATGCGGAAGCCTCAAGAGCTTATTTCCCGCATCAATGTCCCAACACAAACTTGAAAGGCTTGAAATACTACGCATGCAATGCTGCGGGGGGTTGGTAGAAATTGTTGCAAATGATGAAATAATCCTAATAGGGGCAAATTCAAACTCAATTATGTTTCCAAGCTTAACTAGGTTGCATCTACAGAATTTGCCACAACTCAAGTGCATCTATCCAGTAGTAAATGACTTGGAATGGCCAAAGTTAAAGGTACTTGATGTATATCATTGTGATCAATTGAAGGTGTTGCCAACACGAGAACAAGATCATTTTCCAATTGATGTAGGAGCTATGGTCTCATTTGAAAAGGTATTTTTCCTCTTATATTTGTTAATTCTTTTATTTGATGTTGCAACAATATAATGATATCATCCATACCTGTCATTTTAGTCTTCTATTTTATATTTTTCCTTTTTCCTAACCCGAAATTGAGCTCATTTTTAAGCACTCATACCGAAAAATATTTTTCATGTGTTTGAATAAATATAAGATGTTAAAAATAGATCCTGTTGTTGTTTCTTCTAGTCTAATAATAATTTGATTCTTCCTAGAATTTTCCCAACATAGAGCAATTGTCACTCAACAAGGAAGACTTCATGAGAATTAATTCGCAAGGACAGTCTCACGCAAACTTCCTTTGTAAATTGAAATGCCTCATATTGCAATGCTTCCATGATTTTTTGGATGCATTTCCATGTGAACTCTTTCAAAAGGAATCACTTCCCAACTTAGAAATGCTTCAAGTGGCTTGTAGCGCCTTCAAAGAAATTTTCAGCTCTCAAAGACCTAATGTGGATCTTGGTACTAAAATGTTGTCTTCACATCTCAAAGGGTTGGAATTATTTTCTCTGAGGCATCTCGTATCCATAGGGCTAGAGAAGTCATGGGCAGCACCAACTCTTGAAAACCTAGAAACCTTGAGAGTGGAGATTTGTCCTTGCTTGAAGAACTTGGTATCGTCTGCTGTATCTTTTACAAAATTAAGGGAATTGCGTATATATGAATGTCAAGGATTGGTATATTTGCTCACGTTGTCAACTGCAAGGAGCTTAGTTTCACTTGAAGAGCTTTCCATTGGCAAATGTGGATCAATACAAGAAATAGTGCCCAAAGAAGATGCATCGGATGAAGATGAGATAACATTCGAGAAGCTCAAAAGATTGTCTCTTTACTCTCTCCAAAGACTTGGTAGCTTTCACCTGGGAATTCTACATTGAACTTCCCATGTTTGGAACTTGTAACTTTTTGTGAATGCCCCAGAATGAGAATCTTCTCTTGTGGAACTTTAAATACATCTCAACATTTACGAGTTTCAACCAGGCATACTGAATACACAAATTTTCCTCCACAACATTGCGGCTTGGATTTAAATGCCTCCATCGAGTTGCTCTTTTCATCACAGGCAAGTGTTATCTCTTTTCTGTATCCTGTTTCGTTGCTATGCACTAAGTAGACATAATATTTGTTTCCCAATTTCTGTTATAGGCATGGTTATTGTATTTTGTTTTGCCAAAAATGTTACCTTGTTTTTGTTGCAAATACATACCTTTCAAGGATAATACTGAATTGCTTGGAAAACAACCTTTTAACCGTGTCTATGTTGGGCCCAGCTCATATATGGAGGGAAATGAAGAAACTATTTATTTTGATCTGGTTTATTTGCATATTATTATATGTTGTGCTTGTTTTAGCTTCTAAATAAAAGGGAATCTTGTAAAATTAATAAATAAATTTTTAAAATAAGGAAGATGTTATGGAAAAGGATGAAATAGGAAAAAAGAGGAGAATCAAGGACTTCTCTTGTCTCAGTTTGGAATTTTCGTCCATTAATTCCTTAATTAATTTCAATCAAGAACAAGACAGAGGATAACTATTTATATATCACGAGTCCTTATGTGACATTTCTTTCTTTAATACACTATAACTGGAAAATTTTCTGACTTTCGAGATAAAGGTTTCTATCGTGGGAAAGGAAATATATATGTATATATTTATATATTTCCCCTTCTAGGTATTCATTAACTTTCTTTATAATTTTTTTTTTGTTGAGAAAAGATGTTATACGAATTTAAATTGTCAATAATATTTTTATTTTTTCATTATTTAAAACACTATAATATTTAATTGACTTTGTTCTTGACGGTAAATTACAATTCCTAAGTGCAGTTAGGGGGCAAATCATAGATACAAAAATATACACATCTTAATTTGATTGGAAAAAGGTAACTTGAGTTTATAAGCTCCACTGCCTACATTTTTTCCAATATTGCTTTTAACTGTTTTTTTATTTAAATATCTTCAAAGATAATACGAAAATGCTTCTTCTTCTTCTTGGTAAAATACGAAAATGCTTCTTACTTAAACGATCTTACAACTGAGTCTCAATTTAACGGAACTCAGAGAAGTAATGTAAAAGAGCCTAAGGTATCAACTTTTTTGTTGGAGCAGCTTTCAGAATTTGCACGTGATGTGCAATATTTGAATCTCGGAGATCACTATGAGGAGCTTGAAGACATATGGCTTGGTGCAATGGCAGTGCCTAATGGAGGGTTCAATCAGTTGAAGACTTTGATAGTGGATGGTTGCCATTTCTTATCAAACAATGTGATCCCTTTTCATTTGCTTGGCTTTCTAAGTAACTTGGAAGAGTTACAAGTACGATACTGTGATTCTATAAAGGCAATATTTGAAGTGGGATCCTTGTCGGTCCCCTTCTCCATTCCCTTGAAAACATTGATCTTGAAACAACTCCCTGATCTAGAGAATGTTTGGAATGAGGACCCTCAAGAAATTCTCAGCTTCCAATCTTTGCAACTTGTGTATGTTAATAGATGTAGAAGCCTCAAGAGCTTATTTCCAGCATCAATGGCTACACCAGGCAAAATTGTAGGTGTTGAAAAACTAAAAGTGAAACATTGTGAGAAATTAGTAGAAATTGTTGCAAAGGACGAAACAATCCCAGGAGGAGCAACTTCAAACTCAATTCTCTTTCCTAGCTTAACCATGCTGAAGCTGTGGGAATTGCCAAAGCTCAAGTGCATCTATTCAGGACTAAACAATCTGGAATGGCCCAAGTTACAAGAACTAGTTGTATGTCAGTGCAGTCTGCTGAAGAATTTCCCAACATTAAGTCAACATCATTTTCTAATTGATGCGGAAAAGGTAATATCGTTGCTATCACGCGTTTTTAAAATTCTTTACACTAAATTTGGTATATACTAATTACCTTAATACAAGCAATGTTGCTCTCCTTATCCTTTAGATAAATTTTAGAGAAAATTGTGACTCTATTTAAAATACTTAAAGATCTTATAAATACACAATTGCCAGATTACAAATATGTTGTAGAGACATATTTTGAGTCAATAAAATATTTTAAATCCATCTCGTCATTATTTTCTGTTTCTAATGATAATTTCTTGATTTTAGGTTTTTCCTAGCCTTGAGCATCTGTCACTTTGCAAAGAAAGCATCATGCATATTTGGCAAGCCCCGATTCAGGCAAAGCTTCTTCAAAAAGTGAAATTTCTGAAATTGGAATTCTTTGATGCTGATTCTGAGAGATTTCCGTATGGGTTTTTTCAAAAGGAATTGCTACCCCATTTAGAAAAGCTTCAACTATCTTGTGGTAACTTTGAAGAGATATTTACCTCTGAAATATCAGACATGGATGGCTATGGTAATATGTTCTCTTCTCGACTGAAAATTTTAGAGTTGATATCTCTGTCAAAGCTCAATTTAATTGGGTTGGAGCGCACACCTCTACCAAGAAACCTAGAAATGTTGAAAGTTGATAACTGTCCCTGTTTGATCAACTTAACACCATCCACTGTGTCTTTCTCAAATTTAAGGGGTCTACATGTGAGTGATTGTGATAGATTGCCATATTTGTTCACATCCTCAATGGCAAAAAGTTTTGCTTTACTTGAAGAATTAATGGTAAGTAAATGTAAATCTATACAACAAATAATGACTGAAGAAGGAAATGAATCAGAAGTAGATGAAATAACATTCAGGAAACTTAAAACATTGTCTCTTGCCTATTTGGAAAGTCTTGAAAGGTTTCAAAGAGGAAATTCTACTCTGAACTTCTCGTCATTGGAAGTTGTGACTGTTCATCAGTGTCTGAGAATGAGAATTTTCTCTTATGGAGCTACAAATGCACCTAAGCTTCTACGAGTTTCAGCCAAGCCTCCTGACGGATTTGGAAATTCTCATCCAGAATATAGTGGCATGGATCTTAATGTTTCCATAGAGTTGATTTTTTCCTCACAGGTAGCTGCTCTCTCAACTCTCATTCCACAGAATTGACTTCAATAGAATTGACTCTCTCTAATTTAAAATAAAAATAAACATACATTATATGAACTAATTTATCTTTTGTTATATTAAATTCTCAATTCATTAATTTTTTGTCTAGATAGTATTTGAAATATTATTTTTAGCCAACTTATGTATTTAAACTTTTAAAAAATGACTAAATAAACAAGTTTGTGGAACTAAATAATTTAGAAATGATTAAAAGAAGTTAAAGGTAAATGCCTTAAAATTGTTTTTTGTTACCTAAATAATTTTTAAACAACATTTATGTTAAATAGGTTATTTTGGTCCAAAACGTATGATTTAGAAGTTAATTAATGGTTGGGTAGATGAAAATAGAATTTAGCAGTGTATGAAAGGTAATTGTACTCACAGGTTAGTGCTATATCATTTCTTAGTCCTTTTTCATAGGTACATTTTAGATATGTGATTATTTCCCAAGTTCTATCATCGGCGTAGTAAACTAATGTATATTATCTTATCGTTTGTGACTAACATTAGTTTTGGAGAGTATATATTTACATCTAGAGAAAACTATTCTCTTAAAGAAAAGACTTCAAATTATACTATTTCTCTCTCTCTAATAATAATCAATAAGTTATTTTTTACACAAATGTCTCCAAATATAACACTACATTTGTTGTCAAACAACTGTACAACTAAGCCTAAATTACGCCAAGCTTATATGTTGGGAGGAAAGAGATTTCTATTCAAAATTTATTAATTTTTATTATGTGTGTTGTTTGATTTAGCTTCTAACTAGATTTGTATCTTCTAAAATTAAAACCTTGAGCAGCTTGCACAATAATTTTAGTCACTCCGTAGGGGAAAAACCTTACATCTATTTGTCAGGTTTAAGCATATTGTTAAAAAAATTTCTATTTTTCTACAATAATTTTAAGTATAAACTGTTTTGCTGGAGCAGCTTGCACAATTTTCGCATGATGTACGATATTTGAAGCTTGGAGATCACCTTGAGCTGCAAGAGATATGGTATGGTGTAATGCCAATCCCTGATGGAGGTTTCAACAAGTTGAAGACTTTGGTAGTTGATGGTTGCCAATTTTTATCACATTATGTGATCCCTCTCCATTTGCTTGGCTTGCTGAGTAACTTGCAAGAGTTACAAGTAAGAAATTGTGATTCTATAAAGGTGATATTTGATGTAGGACTCACAGCCTCCCCCTGTTCCCTTCCTTTGCGAACATTGTCTTTGGAACAACTACCTAGTTTAGAGCATGTTTGGAAGGAGGACCCTCAAGAATTTCTCAGCATCCAATCTCTGCAATATGTGTATGTTGATAAATGCAGAAGCCTCAAGAGCTTGTTTCCAGCTTCAATGGCCCAATGCCAACTCCAAAGGCTTGTTAAACTATGTGTGCAGTTTTGTGAGGAATTAGTAGAAATTGTTGCCAAGGACAAAACAACTCCCGGAGGAGAAACTTCAATGTCAAATATCTTTCTCAACTTAACCACGTTGGAGCTATGGAATTTGTCACAACTCAAGTGCATATATCAAGGACTGAACAATCTGGAATTTCCAAAACTAAGGGTATTTGATGTATATAGTTGTGATCAATTGAAGATCTTACCAATTGATGAGGAAGCCTTTGTCCCATTGGAGAAGGTATTTAATTTTTCCTATTTCGATGTGGCTATAATGATCTCCTCAAGTACTTGCCAGTTTAGTCTTTTAGTTTATATTTGAAGTCAACCTGAACTAAAGATGAGCTCTTTTTGAAAAAACTTAACATATAACTAATGTTCATGTGTTTTATCAAAATAGGTTAAGAGATATTTTAGGGATTAATAAGAGAAAATATCTGAAATGGATCCTCTCATTAGTTTTTCTTATTCTAATAGTAATTTTGTTGAATATAGGTTTTTCCCAAACTACAGCAATTGTCACTCAGCAAGGAAAACATCATGGAGATTAATTGGCAAGGACAATTTCAGGCAACAAAATTCCTTCAACAAATAAAATTTCTCATATTGCAATGCTTTCATGAGGATTTGGATGGATTTCCGTATGGATTCTTTCAAAGGGAATCACTTCTTAATTTAGAAAAGCTTCGAGTGGCATGTAGTAACTTCAAAGAAATTTTCATCTCTCAAAAACCTGACGAGAATCACTGTACTGAAATGTTGTTTTCACAGTTAAAGGATTGGAAATAATTTCTCTGAGGAAGCTCAAATCCATAGGGTTAGAGCAGTCTTGGGTAGCCCCACTTCCTAGAAACCTAAAATTCCTGAAAGTGGTGAAGTGTACTTGTTTGATGAACTTGGTACCATCCACTGTTTCATTCTCAAATTTAAGGGATCTGTTTGTATCTGAATGTCATGAATTGGTACATTTGTTCACATCATCAACAGCAAAAAGTCTTGTTCAACTTGAGATAATGTCCATAAGTGAATGCAACTCCATACAAGAAATAGTGACTGATCAAGGAGATGAATCATCACATGGAGATGTGATAACATTTAGGAAGCTCACAAGACTGTCTCTTACCACTCTACCAAGACTCTGTAATTTTTGCACACGGACTTGCAATTTGGAATTTCCATCCTTGAAAAATGTGTCAATATTCGGGTGTTCCCAGTTGGAAGTTTTCTGTCAAGGTGATATATATGCACCGATCAATGTGAATTTTCATTCGGATAGGGATCTCAATGCCATGATACCAAGGTCTTCAATAAAGAAGCCTAAGTCGTTATAGGCAGGTTAAAAACTATATAGCCAGTTCAATTTAATACCTTGCTTGTGATTGACCAATCTATTATTGTGCTATACACACCCTTTGTGCCAGAAACACAGGATTGGCATTTCTGTGGAACAAATTTTTGCGCATAGTTTTTCTCTCTCGTTCCCTATATTGCTTTCAATCTTAAATTAGGATGTTAAATTACCGCTTGTTTTTGTCATCTCAAGTAAAGTAACATCATTATTTGTTAGTTCAGCTGGGCTAAGGCAGAGATCATTTTTTTTTTTTCCTTTCCCGAAGTGATTTTCTAAGCAAGTGTGACTTTGTATCATTCTCAAGTCATTTTTGCAATCTGTTCCAGGAAATGATCATCTTTGGCATGAGAAAACCTTGGTTTGGTTCTGTTCTTCATTCTGCTCTAAAGCCAATTTGTCACTAGGTGACACTAACATTACTAGTGATGATTAAAGGAGAACCCTTTATACGGAGATTTAAGATATAACTAACTTGATACTTGACAACTACCTTTTATGTACTGACACATACATGAATCCAGTATAATACTTAATTTAATTATGAAAAATGATATCATGTCTAATTAGATTTGTTTAAAAAAAAATTACATATTTCTTTCGCACTATCTTGGTGACATGCATATAATAATAACAAGCCTTGTTTTCCCAAGTGAGGCATGAATTAGAATTATATGTCATTATTGTGCTCTGTCAATAATCAGCATTTGGTTATTTTGTTAACTAAAAAGTCTCATAAAACAAATTGAATATTCTTGATAGAAAATATGGCAAATGTTATTTTAGAAAGAAATAATTGTTTTTGCATTATTTAGTATTTTGTAAGTTTCCTTCTAAGGAAGGAAACCTGACCTGCTTTTGTTTTTTTTACTCTTTATAAATTTTAAATCTGCAAGTTGAGCTTTACTTATAGGGAAAGCTTATATTTTATTTCATTTTATGTTTCCTTCATAAGAAGGAAACCTTAATTGTGGCTCTATAAAAAGCCACCATACAGCACATGTAAGGAAGTTCTTAGAGAGTTGGAATGAATTGCTGAATTTTGTGAATGTTTCTCAGCCCTGCGTCTCTCCCCTTCTATTCTCCTATCTATCGTTCTGCGTTCCTCTCCACTTCCCTTGCTTTCTCTGTTTTCTGTCATCTCTCCCCTTTGTTTCGCTCCCCCTTCACCTCTCACTCTCTGATTCTGTTTCTTCTTCCTCATTTTATTTTGTTCAAATCAATGTGAGTGCGTGTGTTTTACATCAATTCTCTTTAGTCTTCCTCTACTCTTTTTCACAAGCTCAAGACTATTTATTTCACCCTTTGCATTGGCACCTCCTACAAATTTCTTTTTACATGTTCAAACTCTCTTAAATGATTTTTTACTATTAGAATTAGGTGTAAAACATTTGGAGTCATTTTATTTGTGTCATTATTATTTGATCATTTGTTTACTAGTAATTTTTTTTTGCCAGCAGTTTAATATTTCCTTAACAGTTTGCTGCAGGTTGAATAAGTCTGGAACCTTCTCTTCTCTGTGCATAGACTAGATGTTTGTGCATAAATTTGGGTTTTGTAGTGTCCTTTAAAAAAAAAACAAAGAAAATTGTAATAATATAAATGTACTAGGTGCATCTGCATCTGAGTTAATCATTTGGGATGTTTTGTATTGTGTTTGAAAGTTATGTATTCTGTGAACTTTTCTTTTTGGAAAAAAAAATGTGGTTCCTCCATGTTTGTTTAATGTGTTGTTTAATGGGTTTCTCAGGTTGTTACACACACACACACACACACACAAAATAATCCAATTGCACTGTATTTTCATTTAATGAAAGTATATAGTATTTGCAAAAGGACTCATTCTCTCATCCGCCATCCCCTTCGAGCCTCTCGAAACGGTGCGTTGGAGGACCAAGTTTTGAAGTGAAGAAGAGTCTCCCTAGCCCAGCCTGCACAGAGCCCAACATCTCTGATAAGTCATAACCAATTCTCCCCAATCCCTTCTAAAACTTTGTATTTTTATTTTTTTAACAATTTAAGATATACACGTATTTAATAAATTAAACTAACTAAAACACACTTCTTTCTTTTTCAAATATATAAAAAAATAGCTAACTCGCACAAGTTTAAAAACCTGATTAAATATAATAATCATGTCTTGAGATTTAAAAATTTATTATAAATTATTCTTATAATTAATGAAATAATTTTGTCTCATGAAAAGAAACATCGCTATTTGAAAAAAATGTGATAAATATTTTTTAAAATTTATAATTTTGCTTATAAAAAAATAAGAAGATACACAACAGTTTCTTTTTATAATAAAAAGCGTTAAAATACAAATTCACCCTAAATGTTTTTATAAAGATGTATTTCTTCTGTTAAAAAATGTAAGGCATTTTTAATCAAATCTCACCCTCTAATAAAGTAGTTATTTACTTTTAAACTAATTCTGTCTTTTCATATTTATCTCTATTAAATACCTTACAATAAATATAAAGTCATTATCAATAGGGATATTTTTAAAAAAGATAATGATTACATTTAAAAAGATTAAAAATATTTATATTTTTAAATATTTAATTTTTTAAAAAATATTTTATATTCCTGAATGAAGGGAGTAATTGATATCTTAACTTTTTAAAAGTCTCATTGTACTCTCAATGTTTTTCAAATCAATACAATGTTGCTCTAGACTAATAGAATCGACTAATGAGGTTAAATTTGTTAGGTGGGTCCCACACAATGATGCCATGTAAGCAAAGAAATTTTGACCATTGCTCTGCGTGTGTGTCTCCTTTCCCATGAACGCTTGTTCTTCATTCTTATGCCGCCAATGACCAGCATTGACTCTACGTGGTGTGAAATTTGTAAATTTATCTAAAAAAATTTCAAAAAATTATATCAATAAATATTTGAAAAATTATCCATTTTTCACAAAAAAAAATAATAATAAAATCTCCCACAAATGTTTGGAAAATTATTCATTTCATTAGTTTTGTTTGTATATATGAAATGAATATACAAAACAATAAAAAGGTAAAATAACAAAATCCAAATTCTTTCTGATTAGTGATTTGAGGTTTTATCCATTAATTATATTACAATGAAAAAAATAAAAAAATATTGCATTCAGTGAAATTATTTCGAAATTAATGAGCCTCATACAAATTTAGTTGTTTTTTTCATATGGAAATACTAATTTTTATTTATTTGAATGTAAAGATAAATCCTATCTTTTAGGGGTGATTATGTCTATTACTGTTTAATATGTTTTTATTTATTAACATAAGTTTTAGCATTTACTCCCTCATGCAATGTACATGAGAATAGACTTACATTGTAATTAAATAAAAAGCCATAACAAAATCATTAATTGAAATAAGTTTTTTATGATAGGTGATGTGAAGTTTCATCCTTCATTATATTAAAATGAAGGAAAATTAAAAATTATTGCAATCAATAAAATTACTCCAAAAACAACTAACCTCATGCAAAGTTAGCTATACCTTGACATACCAATATTAATTTTACTAATTTCAATATAATGACGAGTTCTTCTAATTGGAAGTGATTACATTTGTATTTGTTTGATATGTTATTATTAATTAGTGAAGAGAATAAAGTATTAAGCATTAAGTCAATTAACTTTATCAATAAAGAGAACGATGCCTCTGCATATTAAATAAATAGTAAAAATAGTAGTGGAATTTAAAGAATTCTAATTTCAGTTCTTTATTTTAAATATTAAAAATTTACTTTCATTAGTAGATGAATGTAGACTAAAACACAAGGTGCGTTAATATTTAGGAGATGTTTTTCCAAAAATTTCAGACATGCTTGCAACCTGACTTTCTGTTAACTATCCACATCATCATTTTTAGTTGCATTTAGATAAAGAAAGATAATGAGTAAATGAGAGGCAATACAAAGAGCATGAATTATATAGCAGTAAAACATGTTGCATTTTTTTAATTACTCGAGAGAAGAGGGATACAAAAAAATTTGACACACTATATTTTTAATAGGACTTAGTTTTATTTGCAATATCTTTACCTCCCCCTTGCAACCTTTTAGATTTTTTAAAATCAATGTCCAACTAAATATATATTTTTTAAGATTGTAAAAAATAATAACTATTAATCATAGTCTCATGCATTAAGTATTAATAGTATTATAGTAAATAATCAAAAAAATTTGGCATATTGCGTATTGATATCAAGGAAAAATAAATAAATTGTATGTAAAAAAAAAAGGAGAAAAATAAAGATAAAGTAAACACATGCTATGGTAATTTGTAACAAAACTGAACTTCTACAGCAGAGTACAAAAGCTTTGTAAACAATAACTTTTATAGATAACTACCAATATCTTAACTTGATATAAACCAAAGATATACTACAAACAATAACTATTCATAACTTTTACAGATAAATACATGGTTTGGTTGATAACATAATTTTAAGTCAAATTTTCCAACAGCTGAATAAAAAGTGAAGAAAATAAGGTAAGAAAAATTTGGCTATAGAGCAAGAACTACAAGCTTCTTCAATGCACCAAGCTATGTAGATATACTTCCAGTCAACTAATTAGCAAAGCTACAAAACTGTATAACAAATGAAAAGTGAAATTTAAATAACTCAGCATATAAGCAAAGTCTATGTTTTAACTTCTAATCTTTTTAGCAGAACGTTTGCTGTCATTTATTTAAGAACTCAGTTGTTTAACTCTTTTTAGCAGAAATACAACAAAAGTCATGTTAGTTGGCAATTTCTCTAAAAACATGCAGTTCATTGCAAGGAATTATAGTGCAAATTGTAAAATTGTCCTTATTAAACCGACACAACCTTAATACCTAAGGTAATCATAAGATTAATTCAAATGGATTACCATCATATACATGTTAAACCCTGATTTTAATGATTACAAAAAGTTAGAGAAGCTGTTTTTGCATAGCAATATTGTCAACGTTAAGGAAAGAAGACTTATGTGTTTAAATTTTTTGATTATTCTTAACCTTAATTTTTATTCCATTTAGAAATAATTATACTATCCAAGAATTAATTCAGATCTAATTAGAAATGAATTAAAATATTTTTGTCAATATGTTCTTAAACCTATTAGTATATGTCATATCTATCGGTATGTCTCTTTT